CTGGCAGGTTTGGGTTGTAGGGAGACTGAAAGAAGCTGGCAGGTTTGGGGTGTGGGGGGACTGAGGGGAGCTGGCAGGTTTGGGGAGTGGGGAGGCTGACAGGGTTTGGGGGGTGTGGGGAGACTGAGAGGAGCTGACAGGTTTGGGGTGTAAGGACTGAGGGGAGCTGGCAGGTTTGGGTTGTAGGGAGACTGAAAGAAGCTGGCAGGTTTGGGGTGTGGGGAGACTGAGGGGAGCTGGCAGGTTTGGGATGTGTGGGGGGACTGAGAGGAGCTGGCAGGTTTGGGGTGTGGGGAGCACTGGGGTACAGAGGGGGCTGGCAGGTTTGGGGACGTGTGTAGGGCTTTGCAGGGAGTGCTTGAAGGTTTTGGAGGAGCTGCCAGGGATTTGGGGTGTGGGCAGTGAGGATGCTGCCAGGTTTGGGGGTGTGTGAGGCTTTGAGGGTGCTGCCAGGGTTTGGGGTGCGGGGCAATGGGGGCTACCCCAGAGAATGGGGTAGGGGAGGGCAGGCAGGTGAGTGTCATGGAGTTGTCACTGAGTGTTTTCCAGGGACTGTGGGGTGAGGGAATGGCTCTGGATTGGGGTGTTGGCAGGTGTAGGGGACAGAGGGCAGGAGGGGCTGCCAGGACTTGGGGGGGCACAGGGCAGGGGGAATGAGGCTGCTCGGGTTGGGACAGGTGCAGCACCTGGGTTTTGTTTTGGGGAAATGGGGTCAAGGGCCTCCCTCAGGGGGTTTCCCTGATGAGGGGGAGTGGGACTCTGGTGCAGCCTCTCTTTTTTTGTGTTTAAAAGTGGTGATGGACTCTTCCCTTTCTGAGTTCTGCTCCCAAAGGGCCTCGGGGATTCAGTAGGTTATTCTGCTCAAATTGCTACGAAAGCTGAGGAATTCTGGATAAGCACCAGCCTTCTGTAGAGCTCTCTGCTTCAATTATTGTCTTTTTGCATTTTAGCATGTCTAAAATGTAATTTGGTGTTAAGGGCCTAAATAATTTCCTTCTCTGCTCAAAACTGGGGGTATGCTGCAAACTGAAAGCTGAGCAAGTCCTTCCTTTGCTGCGGAAAGCAAAAGTTGTTCAGAAAAGTCCTCAAGTGTCCTTCTGAGCAGTTTGTTCCTGTAAGCAGGTCAAGGTGTTTCCTGTGGGGAAAGTATTGACTCATCCTCGGGTTTCTTAGCAGTATTTTGGTGTCTGCAGGTTAATAAATGTCAGCTCTGCAGTGAGAGCAGAGTCCTGCCTGAGTCTCCCCTGGTTAAAAGGCTGAGGATGGACAGGCTCAGTGTTTGACCCTGTGATAAAGAAGCACTTACACTCCAGAAAAAACTCGGGTGTTTTCCAACACTGCAAGGACAGCTGGGCGTGCTTAGTCAAGTGTAGCACGAAAGGTAGATAGGAAGGGTTTAATTTTATGCTTCTTGGATTAAGCTGTGCCCAGGGTAATGTTTAATTGGCTGAGACAGAAGGGGTTTATTTGTGTGTTTCATTTGAGCTCACTTCCTCCTCTGTGACACACAGCGTGCTTTCTGTGGGGAGCACAGGATGTAACCTCAGATGTTGGGGTGGGAGAGCTGTTCCACAGCAGTGCAGGGACCTGTGGCACTTTTCTGTCCTTTCTGACCTCACTGTGGAGTTGGTGAAGAGCTTTGTGGATCTACAAGAAGCTCCTTTAGCTCTCCATATCATTAGGATGGGAGATGATGGGTGCAGTTTCAGTTGGTGTTTTATTGTGTTTACACTTTGGTGGGTTGTATTTCAACACTTGAAGCTCAGATTTTAAGACAGATGATCATTAAGGCATATTCATGATTGCATAAACAAAAAGGGTTTTAATCCTTTGTTTTCCCACTCTTCCCTCATTTTTCCAGAGCTGAGAAATGGAGCAGAAAGCTGTGATGAGCTTTAAATTTAGTTTCCTACAAATTCCAGATCCTTGGGTTTACCTATCTCCACCCACTGAATACTGAATTTCCTTAACTCTTTTGTGCCCACAGTGATGTAGAGGGAGATCTTGAAGTCCTTCTCTGTAATCACAGTTGTTTTTGGTGGCACAATTGGGTCTAATGAACCCAAACAATCACCTTTGCCTGTTGAGTTTCCCACTGGGGGCTGGGAATCCTGGAGCAGGGTTAGCCAGTGCAGCACTCTGTGACTGCACATCCACTCCGCTGTAGCAACTGAACTTTAATTAGAGGCTGATGGCCTTGACAGTGGTGCTCATGGGTTAATGCTTAATTGCTCAAGTTTTTGCTGAATTGGGATAGTTTTGAAGTCATCACATAAGTACTGTGTTTAATTGTAGGGTAGAGAAAGTAGGATGGCTTCCAGTGAGGCTCAGCCTTTCTCATTGGCAGGTACCATGTGATTTGGCTCCTGAAGTGAGAGCTGAATGCACTACTCTGCACTGAGAGTACAAAGGAGTCACGTATGTGAGTTTTGGGAGGTTAGTGGTCACTCGTTGAGTTTATGACTGAAATCTGTCTTCTTCACATCTTCAGTTTTCTGTTTACTGTTGTTGATTTTAGTGTGGGCTTGTGTTGTTTTGTTTGTTTGCTAAACGGTGTAATTTTCACTTGTGCAACTTTGCACCACGGTTTGTTGTTAATAACAACTGAGATTGTAAACTCTTCAATTAGGCTGGAGCATGAGCTGAGCTGCCAGTGCTGTTATTAAACCTGTAGTTTGGACTTTGAACCAGTTTTTGCCTGCAGGGGTGGAAGCAGATTTCCATGGTCTGTCTGCTCTGTGTGCCTCTCCTCTGGCTCTCAGGGGGCAGTGGAGCTGGGCAGGCTGTGTCTGACCCAGCACTGCAGTTTGTGTCTTCAGGTCTGGCTGGGTAAAAGGCTCTCCTCACCTCAGCTGTGTTGGTGTCACTGTAGGAAAAATGGTCTTTAATTAGGGTTAGGCTACTTTCCTGTCCCTCCTAGTGGGTTTTCATAGGCTATGGAATCACAGAGTGGATTGGGTTGGAAGGACCTTAAAGATCACATAATTAAAGATCCCCTGACTCCATCTGTTCTCTAAACCTTCTGACCAATCCTGATTTGGAGATAAAAAATCAAAATACATTGAACCAAGTACTTGTGCTTGATGAAACACACTGTGGGCAGCAGGATGGTGTGAGCTACAGGAAAGTGTGTGCATGTGGCCCTTTTTTGGGCACAGCTGTGCATGACCTGCTGCTGAGCAGGGAGAAGGGAGCTCTGGATACCTGGCAGTTAAGGGAAATTGGTTCTTCTCTCTAGTCCCAGCTGACTACAGACATAACCCAGCTTTACCTGGACATTGCTGGATGCTGGACTCTGGACTGAGCTCTGGAAGTGGCGCAGCCACAGCCCTGCTGAGGTCTCTGATGCTGCTGTTCACTGCCTGTGCCTGGTGCTCTGCACTTACATGGATTTACCTGGTGCAAACGTTCCCCAGCCCTCCCCTGACAGCCCACTGTGAAACCCCAGCCTGGCCCCTGCTCCCCAGAGTGATTCCAGTCATTATCCCTGACATTATCCCAGACCTTTCTCCTGCCCTTCCCAGGGACTGTCCTTACAGAAGCCAGGGGCTGGGAGTGTGAACTCCCCTGGGCTGGCATTCAGGGAGCAGGGAATGCTTTGCAGGGGTGAGCCAGTGGCATCTCTGTTTCACAGGTGGGGACAATCCAATCGTGTCACTGCTGGGCTGATGTCAGGACCAGGTCTCACCTGCATGCAAAGGTTTCTAACCCCCTGCTGGTAGGTGCCTCTAAAGTTGGTTATTTAGTCTTCAAATCACATTGCAAGGCTGAAAAATTACCCTCTTTAATAAATCAAGAGTAGGACTGTCAGATCAACAATTCAGATTTTGTGTTAGGTTTTTCTTTCTCAGCTGGTTTCCTTAGAACTGATGTGGCTCATTCTAACCTCTGAAAGGCCTTTTTGGCTTGTTCAATTTATGCTCCCATAAGGGACTTTCTTTAGAAAGAATTGTTGTTCTGACATGCTGTTAATTCTTCTCAGTGGCTGTAAAATCTACAGCTTCTTCACATTAATTGCTCTTGAGGTTTTCAGTTTACTCAAAAATATTAACCAGGCTTCTTTCTCCAATGCCCTCTGGCTCCTCTACCAAATAGTCTTGGAATAGGAATTCCCACATTTTATTTTGGTGGAGACTAAAATATTCATTAAACATCAGCTTTTTTTTTTAATGCTGCCACCTTTTTATATTCAGAAGGTTGTGCTTATAAGAATATACTTATGGAGCATATGCTTTGAATCTTTTAGTTTAGGCTGGTGTTAAGTGAGATTTGAAACTCATTAAATGTAATTTAAATTTAAAATACTGTCTTTTGGGAGTAGCTTGTTGCATGGTAACCTCTAGTGCAAGAAGGGTGGTTCCTTTGGGCATTATATATTCTATATATACACATGGAAGAGTTCAAATTGCAGTGTCACAAGTGGCATCGCTGAATCCACATCACCTGAGCTTTTATTGCTTTGGCTTTTGCCCAGATGAGTCAGGAATTGCATCCCACAGAATTC